GGTTGACATGCAGAGATTCCATTGATCTGTGTCGATATGTATGGATTTTATGAAGGGGAAAAGGTCATATTTTATATTTTCTTCATTATTAGTAGAATCACACATGACAATGTATTCCCGATAACATGAAACCTGAAAATTTCCAACCACCTACTTAAAAAGTACTATGGAACAGGTGAATTGAATGGATTCGTAAGGCAAATTGAAACAAGCTAATGCTAATTCTGCTAGTGTTTAATGCTAGCATAAGACAGAGAATCTCACACTTGCTAGCGGTAGTTAGCACATAGTAAATCATGATGTACACCAGGGGTGGCCAATCTTATCCGCAAAGGGCCGGTGTGTATGCAGGTTTTTGGGATAACCTGTAGGTCAGCTGTTCAAACCCAGGTGTGAGGACTCTTCAGCCAATCAGTCCTCTAATTAGTAATCTAATCTAATTAGGGAGTTGAAGCGAAAACCTGCATACTCTTTGCGGATAAGATTGGCCACCCCTGATGTACACTGTGTGAACAGCAAATAAGCCTGTGTTCGATCTTACATCATTGTCACTCTCTAAACCTGACAACACCTTTACCGAGCCGACTCTTCTGTAGTGGAAAGCCAAAGCGAGCTGGAACTACTTTGTAGTACAGGTCGGTGCTTGTATGCCATAAAAGATTAGAACTGTAGAACCTAGTGGGCTAAGCCTGTTGTGGTTAATGCTCTTATTTTTCCTATCATTGACCAACCCTGCCTTGACCTGCTGAATCCTGGATCTCATTGTCTCCTCTTCAAAGGTGGCCCTCTGGCTATGGTGGGGTCAGCCATGTTTGGTGGAATTCTCCTGGCTCTGATTGAGGGGGTTGGAATCCTGCTAACCAAATACACAGCACAGCAGTTCCAGAACCGTGAGTCGGGGGTTTGGGTGCGGTAATTCCTGCTAGATGAAGCGTGTGATGGCTCCAGGACATGGCTTAAAATTCTACGCGAACAGCCAGTCAATAACCATCAGTGTCGTCTTCTTTCTCCCTAGCGGGCCCCTTTATGGAGGACCCAAGTCAGCTTCCCCCAAAGGACACAACTCAGGGCTACAAAGGTTTTGGACAATACCAGTAAGCTTGGAGCAGTTGGACTGGAGATCGAGATCAGGGGAGTGTGGTCTATTCTGATCCTCAGAGACATTCGGATATGTTGAGAAGCCTGTGCCAAGTGAGACATGAAACGTACACTCTTGTAAATCGGAAGTCCTCATATTAACCCCTCCCCAAGGCCAGGCCGCAGTTCATTTTCACTTGTATGTTTCTAAATGTGTAAATACTTTTCACCAAAAACTTGGCAATTGCTTAAATACTGAACTTGAGTCACTGGAAAATTTTACACCATGAAGTTGGAGTAAAGTGAAGGTTTTATGTGTATTTCAACCCCACTGAAATGGACAGAGCCTTTATCCTGGGGGAAATGTCACATAAGGATCCATGTTGCTGGCTCACACTTCATACCCACTACAGGTATGAGGGTGAGGGAGAAGCATTTAACAGACATCCTAATAAAGTAGGTTTTACTAAAGGTTTGGAGAAATGTGAATTACACATGCCCTGTGTTGTTATAGGGTTGGTTTCTAATCTTTTGTTACCTTACCCTACTTCTTCAAACCTACTTCAGTCTTCTGAGTCGCCCAGTCTATCACAGCAGGAGCCTATCTAGGTATTGTTATGGCGCCATGTATCACATCTGACTGCACATTTCTTCACTTAGTTTTTTCTTTAGACCGGTTTTCACATCTTTACCTTTATGTAAAGCAGGAGAATATTTTCATAATAGGTATAATTTCAAAAGGTAAAGCAGTAGGATCATTATGGGTCTGAACCAGCAACTTTTAACATCCTCTTCTGTCTTGTCCACTGAAGTACCAGTGTGTTTCCACAGTTGTCTTTGTGTCTCCTCCACACTCTTCAGTGTGATTTAAAGACATTTTAGAAGTATACTTGTGGTTTGCTGTTAAAAGCAGTGATAGAGAGGATAGTCTGATATGAGTTTATTTATTATACACAGTAACGCTGACAGTTTGAAATTACAGCAAAGCTTTTGAAGAATAAAGCATTCTATGGTCCTTTTAGTGATGCTTTTTGGTTCATTTAAAATGAGTTACTTTACAAAAAATTTCATCTGCTTTTTAACACAAAATTCAACGTATTTAGCTTGCACTGAAATTGGCATTTTGTGTAACTTTGGTGTCATTGAATTATAATGCACTGAAAGTTGTGAGTGCACATTGTTATAAACGCCACCATTGCACAACGTCTATCGCAATGAGGTGTAACTGCTCATGGTCATAAAAACATCAAATTTCCAATGAGATATTTGATTGGAGATATCAGGGATGGTGATGTTCACAACCTGCTTCATTTTGAAACTGATGTGTCCCATCCCTCTGTTATATAATGTAGTAAAAATGTTATCGCATGTATTGCGGGTATTACTGAAGTGTTTCAGGGCTTAAAACAGAGGGTCACTGCAGGTTTGGTTTCAGCATTGGCAGGGACCAAATCTGCTCTGAATCCCCCGCCCCCCTAAACACAGGGTACTACCACAATAGTGGAAGGAACATGTCCTTACTGTCCATACCCAAATCTACGCCTTGATGGAGGGTGATCACGGGGCAGAAGAAATGCCCTGCTATCAGTACCCAAAATATTGCACTAGTGGGTCTCAGGGGCTGGAGTAAGGCTGTGTGGATTGATACTGCAATATCGATTGCTTCGATTGGAATGTTGAGAATTTTGAGAAATAACTGTAATGCTCAAGCACTGATGTTTAAATTGGTAATTTAAATGTCTATATTATTATAGGACATGAACCACCTGTAAGGGGAGAAGAGGAAGATATCCCCCTCCCCCGCTTCAGCAGATTTTCTGGGTTGGGTTGGCACAGGATGTCAGCGATGCCAGTCTTGGTATTACTTTGTATTGGAGATCGAAAAGTATGAGGGGTAACATTCATCTCTAGACCGGAGGCGATATAATGAGGCTCAGAGGTTGTGACGCTGACAGCCAGTCAATCCTGCAGGCACTATAGGTGGCCTCCTAGAGTTCCAAACTTCTGAGGGGGTGCCAACTTGCCAGCCAATTTCCCTTTGCCTCAGACAGAGGGCGCCCCATCAGCTAGAACTGGCCCTGGACGCTGATGAGGTCACAAGGGACAACATATCGGACCAAGAGATACCGCTAATAAGGACTCATCAACGTGGACATATTAACAAGGCAGTAAACTCTACTGTGGTTTTTCATTACTCACATATGCATAAAAAAGGAGACCGAAAGCCACCCAGATCATCCATCCATCTATCTATCTATCTATCTATCTTCCAACCACTTGTCCTGGTCAGGGTTCCACTGATCTCTACTGTTCGCTTAGCCCATTCGGGATCAGAGGAAGTTATTAGGAACACAGAAGGGTGCTAAACATACAAAACGGCAAAAAGGACGGAATGTCCATCAACACCTGCTGTCAAAACAAGGAGACAACAGACAAGGCAGCGACTGTGCTTTAAAACTTCATCCCACCTGTGAAAATGTCCTACCTAATTTAACTGCCAGGCCTCACACTGAATCATTCACTTTTTCATACACACCTATAAATATATGCTGCCATCGAATGAAAATCCTTATATCCTACAGGAAGCACATATCCGTGGCCTGTTTTTATCTATAAAAATGTTCTAATCACCTTAAACACTACAGGAAGAACATATTTATGGTTTACTTTTAATAACTACAGGAAGTACATAGTGTTTTTAATCTTTAATATTTTGTCGTTGTAAACACAAGAACATCATTATGGTGTGATTTACAGCAAGGTTATATTATCAAAGCATGCGCTGCTAGCAATGGCATAGATTTAGTTATGGGCGGCAGGAACGTGTCCCTGCCAATGCTTGTGGAGGTACCGTGTGTGTTTAGGGGGGCGGGGGTTCGGGCCCGATTTGGTCCCTATCAATGTGGAAACCAAACCTATGCCCTTGGCTGCTATGATACTCTCTCAAGGTAGGACAAAACAACAGATATGGCTGTAAATTTACTCTACCGATAATAAAATATTTCAAGCAGGAAAAATCTGCCTGTACTGTCACGACACTCACATACACATGATAAAAATCACTTGATTGGAGCTACAGAAATGTTAAATTAAAGGCGATGCCTTTGTTGGCGGCGGGAGACTTGGCTAGCCAATCCATCTCGGCAATATAAATTCGCTGGAATTACGTACTTCTCTTTATGGTCCTGTTTACACTTTGTTTTCAAATGCATCTAGGACGATCGGATCGCAAGTGGACAACGCTAAATACAAGTGTAAACGACCACCAAGACTTACGTTCATCCGATCACTTGCCGAGGTGGTCTACGAGGCATTTAAGCACTTTTGCAGTGTAAACGCTAACGCGTCTTAATTAATGCGTCCCCGACATGACCAGTAACGAAACGGCGATGTATCTGGGTTGTCAACTTATGATCCGATCGCCCAAGACGCATTTAAAAGCAAGTGCAAATTTCCTTTCCTTTCCAGATGTCGGTAGAAACTGGAAGTCGTGCCAACTACCTCGGTAATCCATGATTGGTAAAATCGATGATTTGCCAAAGCCCTCCGAAATAGGGTCTGGAACCAGGGGTTGCCAACTCTCACGCATCTGGCGTTACACTCATCTTTTCTGTATTTCACGCTCACGCAAGAAATCTTACGGCAAATCTATATTATCTCATTATAAACTTAAATTTAGCTATATCAAAAGACTATTTACAAGCCAGGTAATAAAACTCCTACATACATGTAAATGCGTGTAAATCTCACGCCAGCCAGCGTGGCCCCTCTGAGAACCGCCTATGGTTATACCCCATGTTTAAATTAAAGAATTCTAAACAAAACTGGATTTTTTTTTTTTTGGAAAACTGCTCAACAACCACCATCTTTTAAATGACCGTTTTACACTGGTTTTCGCTTCATCCTGCTGCTCCACCTGACAGGAGGGATCGCGCGTCTTCAGGGCGGAGCCCGAAATGCATCTTGGGAATCCGAGTCCGCGTCTACCTCAGTCCTGCGGAGGTTCCACGATGGCGGACGTTCAGCCTCCGCCCCTGCGATCCATGGATGATTTTATACTGAGCTCGGCGCGGTTCGCTGTGCCCGATGTGCGCGATCTGGAGCGACTGAACAACCGCATAATCAACAACCTGCTTTACTACCAGTCCAATTATTTCCTGTCTGTGCTGATTTTCCTGGCTATAGTCGGGTAAGGGGTGTCGGTTCCCCTGGTCCTTGATGCTGTCATTGTATCCGCCTGGAAAACACGACATGTTAAGAAATTTTATTTAGCCGATTTATAATCCGAACTCTTATAGTGTGCAAACCTATATATACCTGCGTACAGTGTATGTGTACAACTGTTACAGTGTGTATGTGCATTGTTAGGCGTCTCTGAGACTGGTACCTGGGTGATGGACTGGGTACATCGGGAGTGTATTAAGGTTAAATTTACTCTTCCTTTCACTCCAGATCTAGAAACGGACGTTACTTTAAGTTATTTTAAACGTGAGTATGTGACTGAGTAGAGCAGGGAGAGAAATTGAATTGAATCTGCTGTGCTTCTCCTGGTATTAATCCAGAGTTTCGTCTCATTGGTTGCAGTACTATTAAATTGCTCAGATGAGTCTATATTTGCACTTAGTTTTTCAAGTGTCTTTCATTGCATTGAACACCTGCTTGGCAAAACTTTTATTTTTATGGTAAATGTTTGTGTAAAAAGACATCCAGCTTGCTTGGAATCTGTGTTTTCATTGTCAAAGTTTAACCAACCTACCTGTCCCTTTGCTAACTATGTACTTAAGTGTTTCCAACCCGGTCCTTGGGGACCTCAAGACAGTCCATGTTTTTGCTCCCTCCTAGCACCTTGCCAGACAGCCCACACAAAAATGTGGGCTCTCTGGAGGGTGCCTGAGAACTGGGTTGGGAAACACTTACTGTATGTAGTTGATAACTGGTTAACGGATGATGAACGGATGGTGACCTCATGATGTCCCTCCTTGCAGATATGTGCAGCCGCTGCAGTTGTTTTTGGGTGCCACCGTGGTGACGCTGGCCTTCCTGGGGTTTGTTTGGGCTGCAGAGAATCAGGCCAGCATCAGGCGCTTCCGGCGCACCCATCCCTCGCTCTCGCTGTCGGCCATCTTGGGGGCCAGCTACCTGTTCCTGTCAGTGCTGGGTGGCGTGGCTGTCTTCCTCTTCGGCATCGCCTTTCCCATACTGCGTCAGTTCCTCACAATTCTTCAGCCAACTTGTTTGTCTTTTCTTTAATGCCTGTCTAGGGTCCCACTTTGCTGGCCTGTCTTAGTGTCCCAGTGTATGGTCTGTGTCGTGTTATGGTTCCTCACTCTCCTCCCTCAGTGTCCCACTACTTGGTATCAGTGTCGTCTTTTGGTTCCTCAGTGTCCCATCTCCTATGCCAGTGTCTCCTT